GTGGGTCTGGGGAGTGTTTGTGGATCTGAATGTGTGTATGGATCTGGGGGGTGTGGGTCTGGGGGTATGTGTGGGTCTGGGGAGTGTGTGTGAGTCTCAGGGGAGTATGTGTGGGTCTGGATGTGTATGTGTGAGTCTGAGGGGAGTGTGTGTGGATCTGGGTGTGGGGGGGTCTGGTAAGCGTGTGTCTGGGTGTGTATGTGAGTCTGGGGACAGTGTGTGTGGGCCTGGATGTGTGTGTGTGAGTCTCAGGGGAGTGCATGTGGATCTGGGTGTGTGTGTGGGTCTGGGTGTGTGAATTTCAGGGGAGTGTGTATGTATCTAGCAGGGAGTGTGTGTGGGTCTGGGGGAGTGTGTGGGTCTGGAAGTGTGTGGGCAGGGGGTGGTGGGTCTGGGGGTGGTGTGTGGTTCTGGAGGGGAGAAGTGTGCCTGTGAACTCCTCAGGAGGAGGCCCCCTTTCTTCCCAGCCCCACGTCCCCTCTTCCTGAGCTCACAAAATCACAGACTTGGGGTTCAAGCCGGAGCCCCTAAGAGAGCGGGAGCGAGTTTATTTTCAAAGCTCTGCTGAGGAATGAGGGGAGGCCGAGGGGCATCCCGAGGAGAGACAGACAGACAGACGGAGGCTGGAGGGCAAGAGGGAGGCTGCAAAAGCCCCACGGTCCCAGCTCTGGCCGGGCGTGGAGGCGGAGCCATGGGGGTACTGTAGGGGGTCGGGGTGGAGCATCAGGCTGGATTGTGGCTGGGCTCAGCACAGGGCAGCCAGGAGCGCTGGCAGGAGGAGGACGACCCAGGCCAGGAACCCTGGAAGGCAATGGAGGGGACGGTCACAGTTGCGAGCCTTTGGCCCTCAGCAGCCCCGTGGGTCTGGTCTCGTGGCAAGAGCATCCCAAAGGCCGGGCAGCACCCAGTGGGGGTTCCCCAGAGAGGGAGCCGGGGCACATGGTGGAGGCAAAGCAATCTAAGGACCCAGCACTTTCTGAGCTCCTCCAGGCACGGGGATGCAGTTCTCCCCAGGCCTTTGGGGACTGCATCTCTGGAAGGGGGTGGCGGGGGAGAGAGGGCGTGAGCTCTGAAGCTGCCAGCCTTAGCTGGTGCCACACCCCTCCCGCCAGACTCTCCCTACTCTCCTCCACCCTCTAGGGACGATAAATCCAGAAACACCTCGGGTTGGCGATGTGGCTGATTTTGAATTCAGATGTTTGCACATTCAGAAATTGTTCACTATCACGAAATTTTCCAGCTGTGGAACCCCCATGGGGTGGGGCGTGGTGGGGCGGGGTGGGGGTGGTGGCCCAGAGTTTCAGGAGCCAGAGTCTACAGCGCAGTGGCGTGGCGTGCTGGCTCTCGGGCCACAACTGCTAGTGTTCTTTGTCTGACTTATACCCTAGAGGCAGGTCAATGCACACGCATCCCAACCAATATTCCAATTTCAGTCCATTTCAAATTCTAGCTGCACATGCTCAACCAAGTTCCTTGGCCGCTCTGGTCTTTAGGATGGCCTTCATGCCACGTAGAAATAAAACCTCGTGGGAGTCTGTTGTTGGTTTGGTGGCCACACCCAAGAGTGCTCCCTCAAGGCTTCCTCCTGGCTTTGTGCTCAGGAGTCACTCCTGACAAGGTTGGGGCGGGGGGGGGGGGACCATATGTGGTTCCAAGAATCAACCTAAGTGAGTGAGTGCAAGGCAAGCACTGTGCCCACCGTGCTCTCTCTCTCTCTCTCTCTCTCTCTCTCTCTCTCTCTCTCTCACTCTCTCTCCTCCTCCCCCCCTCCTCTTCCTCCTCCTCTGGGGAATTCTGCAGTGCTCAAGAGAGCAAATTCACATCCAGTGTTTGGAGCAGAGCCTGGCTCGTGGGAAAGATCAGAGAGTGATTACTTTTGGCCAAAGAGCCTCTGGGAGGGCTGGGGTCATTGCCATATACTCCATGAGGGGAGTCTGGAGCTGACTGGGAGGCTGGAGGCTGTATCCTGAGGCACCTAAGAAAGGTGTGTACATCTCTTCCTGTCACACACAGAGGGTACCATACCCGCCCCCAAACACCCAAATAACTTGCTGGTTTCCTAGAAGGGAGGGAGGGAGGGAGGGAGGGCTGCCATCCTTTCTAAGGAGATGTCTCAGAACAGAGGGTCTGGCCCCCACTTAGAATTATGAAACAGAATCTCAGGTGTCCACTGGAAACCACCAGCCATGCTGGGGGACCAGCCAACAACGGGCCAGCCCAATGGGCCCTCTTGAAGCTCATCTCTTCCTCTTCTGGAAGCTCTCCTAAATTCTCACCCACACTAGGAGGAAAGCGATTGGTCAGCCCGCCCGGGAGGCCAGCCTGTTCCAGGCTAGGGGCTACCGTGAATCTCTGCTCAAAATGAGTGAGGCCTGAGTGCCAGCTATGCCCCTGGGGCTATCCGGGACTCTGCCTCTTGGTGAGTGCTGCTTTGATGAGCATCGTCTGGATCAGGCGCTGAGCTTGGAAGATGCCACCTTAGCGTATTGGGGTACACGCGGACTGTTATCTCATTGAGCATTTTGAAGACAGGTAGAACTTTTTTTTTAACGCCTAAATGCCCCAATGTATTTGACTCCTCTCCAATCTTTTAAGTGGGGGAGGCATAGAAAATGTTAATAGCGTCTATTTTCCTTTGGCTCAAAATATGTCCCTTGGGTTTGTCGGTTGGACTCAAACTCGCCCACAGAAACTTCATTCTGACGTTACCACCTGCTGAAATTCTTTCCTGGCCTCATTCAATACAGCTCATTACTCTTTTGTTTGTTTGTTTATCCAGGGTCACATTCACCTGTGCTCAGGGCTTACTCCTGACTCTGTGCTCAGGGACCAGTCCTGATGGGGCGGGGGACCATATGCAGTGCTGGGGTGAAACCAGATTGGCCACATGTAAGGCAGATACCTTCCCCACTGGATCATCTTTCCAGCCTCTAAACACTTTTTTAAAAAAATTTTTTGGGTTAACACCTGGCAATGCACAGGGGTTACTCCTGGCTCTGCACTCAGGAATTACTTTTGGCAGTGCTCGGGGGACTATATGGGATGATGGGATGCTGGGAATTGAACCTGGGTCAGCTGCATGCAAGGCAAATGCCCTACCTGCTGTGCTATTGCCCCAGCCCCTAATCACTCTTCTAAACGCTCAGCTAGCATGCTCAGCTAGCTTGTGACTTGTGCATATCCCTAGTCCATTTTTCTAGTCTTTTGACAACCTGTTGTTGCTTTCATACTTGCATCCATCCTTTTTCCTCATTTGGATCAAATAGCTCCTCATTTCTGACCACCCATCCACACAATTATCCATCCTTTCTCCCTACCGTGCCACTATAGGCATCAAACACTCCTCAGGCACGTGGCCACACAGAAGAAAGACTGTGTTCCTCTGTCTCCTCTGCAGCCAGCATCCCATCATTGGCCAATGAGATGGAAGAAGACACTTGGATTAGAAGCCATCTGCTTCTAATCATTTCCATGAATGCCACGTGGATTTTGTCCACGCTTCCTCCATCTTGCCCTCTGGATAGGAAGGTCTGAGTTCTAGCTGCTGTCTTGGGCAGCAGAGATGGTGGTTGGGCGAGCGTGAGGGCATCTTGTTCCCAAAGGGTTCATGGTCCTCCCCTTCCCTGGCTTGCATGCCACCAGACTCCTCTTCCGCTTCCTCACCAGACTTCTGTCTCATTGAAGGTTACCGCTGCTGCTTGCTAACAGTCCCACCACCCTCTTGAAACTCAAAATCGCTGTCACTTTGTATTTTCTGGAGCGTGAGCTCAGACGGAGAGGGGTCATCTTGCTCACATTTCTATTTTCAGAGCCAAGAAGAACACCTGGCACACAATTCGTGTTAGGAAATAGTTGTCCAGAAGTGGTTCATACACACACACACACACACACACACACACACACGGCAAGAATAAGAGTTCATGCTGGGTTGCTCCTTGGGGGCTGACCCCATTTTCCAGCCCTGGGTCTTGCAGCAAAGGGTCTAAATGAATGTGCACTGGATGGAAAAGAGGAAGGAGAAAGGTTGGAGGAGGATGGGGATGGGGAGGCAGGAGAAATGAGGTACCTGCAGTGCTGGGGGATCCACTTGTGACATCAAGGGGTGAACGACCTGGGGACAAGAGCAGAACATGAGCTTATTTTCTTTGTTCCTCCCTCCCTTTCTCCCTCTCTCCTTCCCTTATTCCCTCCCTACCTCCGTCCTTCTTCCCTCCCTTTTTTCTCTCCTTCCTTTGTTCTCTCCTTCCTTCTTCTTCCCTCCCTCCCTTCATCTTTCCTTCCTTCAGCCTCCCTCCCTCCCTTCTTTCCTTTCCTCCTCTCCTTCCTTCTCTCCTTCCTTCTTCCCTCCCTCCCTCCCTTCCTTCCTCCCCTCCTTCCCTCCTTCCTTCCTTCCTTCCTTCCTTCCTTCCTTCCTTCCTTCCTTCCTCTCTCTTTTCTTCTTCTCTCTTCCTTTGCAATGCAAGTGCTTACTTCTAGCTCTGTACCCAGGAACCATTCCTGACTGTGCTCAGCAGACCATATAGGGTGCTGGGAATTGAATCCAGGTCAACTTCATATAAGGTATTTAGGACCCCCACCCTTGTATCTCTCCAACCCGTGACTGTGGCATTATGGCTACACTGGGTCCTCCTGGCCTGAGTATCACAGCCACCGACAGTCCACACTCTGGAGGCACCTGCTTCTCCATCACTTCCTGTCTAATTACATGCCTGCGCATAAAACAGACGCTCCTCCTGGGTCTGGAAGGTGGGTCTTGGACAGAAGAGAGACTGAGACTCGGGCATGGTAAGGGACTGGCGAGCTAACCTTCCGAGTCAGGAACAGAGTGAAGATTCAACACCCAGTCTGTCTGATTCCTAGGCAGAAGCTCTGATCTGAACTCGCCGGCCCTAATCCCCCCTCATGGACTTCAAGTTGAGGGTTCAGTAAGGGACAGGGCAACCCAGGGCAGAGCCTTCTCACGAAGAACCTCAGCTCAAGGGCCCTGGATGAGCATGGCCTTACCGCTTGGGCCTTCTCAAAGTGTTGGTACATTCAAGAGTGTCTGGGAGGCGACGGGCAGTTAGGGTAGAGAAGGGACCGATATGAGAATGATGTACCACAGCCCTGGAGCACTGTCCTCCCGTAGTTCATCCATTTGCTCAAGCGGGCACCAGTAACGTCTCCATCGTGAGACTTGTTGTTACTGTTTTTGGCATACGTCACGGGGAGCTTGCCAGGCTTTGCTGTGTGAATGGGATACTCTCGGTACCTTGCTGGGCTCTCAGAGAGGGGTGAAGGAATCGAACCCAGGTCAGCCACGTGCAAGGCAAACACCCTACCCACTGTGCTGTCACTCCAGCTCTTGGAAATAATCATTTTGGTCAGGAACTGAGTGTTGAAAGTAGGTAAAGGGATATGCCTGATATACCTTTCAGTGTCTGTATTGCAAACCATAAGGCCCAAAATAGGGGCGGGGGGGGGGGGGGAGAGAGAGAGAGAGAGAGAGAGAGAGAGAGAGAGAGAGAGAGAGAGAGAGGAAAAGTTCCCGTCATACAGGCAGGGAGGATGGAAGGGAAACTGGGGACACTGGTAGTGGGAAATGTATACTGGTGAAGGGACAGAAGGGACAGGTGTTGGAATATTATATAACTGAAACCCAATGAGGAAGTACTTTGTAACTGTGTATCTCATTGTGACTCAATTAAAAAGCACCCCTAAATAAATAAATAAATAAAAACAAATCACCCCTCCCACATTTTGGTGCATAGGTTTAGAGGGTCTGGAGCGATAGCACAGCGGGTAGGGCTGTGCAAGCGGCCAACATGGCCGACCTGAGTTCGATTCTTCCACCCCCTTGGAGAGCCCGGCAAGCTACTGAGAGTATCTTGCTCCTGTGACATATTCGATATGCCAAACACAGTAACAAGTGTCACAATGGAGACGTTACTGGGCCTGCTCAAGCAAATTGATGAACAACAGGAGGACAGTGACAGTGACAGGTTTAGAGGGATAGTACAGCGGCAAGGTGCTTGCCTTGCATGGCACTAACACTGGTTAGATCCCGGAGCACCACTAAGCGTGACCCCTGAGCAAAGAGCCGGGTGGTAACCCCTGAACTCTGCCAGGCATGGCCCCAAAACCCACCCTCTTAAAAAGAAATGTAGGTGCTTTCCTCTTTCAGTCTGTGTGGCATAGCACGACACAAATGATGATCGAAATATTGTTTTGTGATTACTAATTACTAGTGATTAACAAGTAACGCTATTTCCGCATCTTCATTTCTCTCTGACAGGAGAAAATACTTTCGTTCTTCTGAGCTTCTGAACTCCTCATTTCACTCTGGTGGAAATACACACAATAACAGCATTGCCCTCTGGCAGGTGGGGTGGATGATAGTCTGAGGAGCTGATGAAAAGCGCCCCCTGGCTTCTGGTCCTGAGTACTAGACCTAGATCCCAGGAAGCAATCATCCCCTCCCCCCCGAAAACAGAGCTGTTTCAGGACTTGGTCTTCACCCCAAAGGAGCTGAGTCATGAGTCAGGGGGTTAAGGAAAGGGACCCATACTTTGCTTCGAAACAGACCGAGCTGGGTTCAATCTTAACTCTAGCCACTCATGAGCAGAATGACCTTGAGTCTCCTCTCAGTCTGAGCTTTGCTTTCTCACCTGTAAGATGGGCACAGTAAGGGGAGGATGAAAAGCCACAGTAACCTGGAGCACAGAGCCTGGTCTGGGACCCACAGGACAAGTGGGTCATGCTAGGATTGTTCCCCAAATTACCCCTGGGGAAGACACACCACTGTCCACTGTCAGAGTTTTCCCTGGCTCAACCACTAAAGGTCACTGGGCCTGTCGGGAGCACCCCAAGTCCTGAATTCTCTGGGAACTTGGCTTTTGCCAGGGGAACCTGACATTTCTAAGAATAACATAGATTAATTGGCCTTGATTTGTCAGTAGCTGATGGCTTGAGATGTAGGAAGCAGATATCTTTGGGTGTCAGTCCTGCCTTAGAGCATCAAGGCCGGTGCTCCAAAGCTTCTTCCTAGCATAACAATCCCCAGCCTCCTCCCTTACCTGGTCCTTAGTGGGCATTCTCCCTCAGCCACTATTTAACCATTGCCTTTCCTAATAAACTTGGTAACATGACCATGAGTCCATGCCCCGCGTGGATGGATCTCCCAGCTTCTTCCTGGCGTGAGCATCTTTGAGCCATCAGTCCTAGACCATGTGATCGTCTCTGTTTCCAGTTCTCAGAGCGGTACCGACAGCTCTAAGTGGCGCAAATTGTTGTTCCAAAACACACCACTGAAAAGCCAGGAAAGACCCTCCAGGGTAGCCCGGTGCCCCCAGTGGCCCCATTTCGATGACCAGGACTTGTTTGCTTACCTTTCCGAGCAATGGGTCCCAAGTCGAGCACCCGATCTGGGTTGATAGTCTCCACTTCGCTGCGGAGCTGGTTTTTGTAGCAAGTCTGTGGGGTGGAGAATTCCCGTTATATCACCACTTCTATCCAGTTGCTTCCACAGAGGCAGCTCTGACCTGAGGATGGGGTCCACCCAGCAAAGACCCTAACTATGAGACTGTTGTTACCTTCATCTAGAAAGATCTCTCTGGGCATGCATCTCACCACACCCTCTCATTTATCTAATTAGGGACAAAGAACATCACCTCCCTACTGCCATCAAACAGCATCTTTCTGATTGGGATGGTTGCTGTGAGGCATGGATGCAGCATGTGAGCATGTAATGAGGGCTCCATAAAGACCCCACTAAGTGTTGAGCAAGCAATGACCTATGGGATTAAGGGCAGCTAGGCCAGTTCCCAACTCGGATCATCCCAGCCATGTGGCCTCTGGTTCAGGGACTTCTCTAAGGTTCCCTCCCTTGTGGGTCCAGTGGGGTAAAAGGAGCTCCTAGGGGCGTGGGGGGGGTGTTGTTGTAAGTATTTGATTAGGAAAGTTAGCTCAAAGTTTTCTTTATGCTGGAGAAGTGCTAACTAAGTCATATGATGCTCTGTTTGTCTTATCTAGTACCAAGGAAAACTTGTGGGCAGGTTGCATCAGCTGCTCTGCTTCATAGGTCCCCAGGAATTTCTCACAACTGGGCCTTCAGAAGGATTAAACACCACCCATTCCTCCTTCTTCCTCTCCTCTCTTCCTCTCTTCCACCCATCCAACGATCTCCTGATTTTCTATTTCTTCATCCAATCACCTATTTTTGTCCAACCCTCCTCTATATCTCCCTCCCTCCCTTCCTCCCTCCTTTCCTTCCTTCCTTGCTCCCTCCTTCCCTCCCTTCATCCCTCCCTCCCTCCCTCCCCCTCCCTCCCCCTCCCTCCCTTCTTTCCTTCCTTCCTTGCTCTCTCCCTCCCTCCCTCCCTCCTTTCCTTCCTTCTTCCCTCTCTCCCTCCCTCCATCCCTCCCATTCTTCCTCCTTTTCTCCCTCCCTCCTTACCTCCCTCCCTTCCTTCCTCCACCCCTCCCTTCTTCCGTCCCTTCTTCCCTCCCTTCCTTCCTTCCTTCCTTCCTTCCTGCCCTCCCTCCCTCCTTTTCATTCTTCCCATTCACAATTCCCATAAACATGTAAAGGGAAAATATTAGGCACCAAGTCCTAAGCCCTGAATAATCCAGTTCAAAGAGATACTCACGGGCGTGCACTGTTCATTCAGGGGATCACAGAGATAGACCTCACAATGCAGGAACACCAGGTCACTATTCCCAGCAAACATGAACATCTGAACTGAGAAGCGGGTTTTTTCAGACACCCCATTCTCCACCACAGAGACTGTAGGATCAGATGGATTTGGGCAGCTGGGAGGATGACAAAGGTCAAAGGTGTAATTTTTACACAGGTCAGGGATGCTGAAGATCTTAGCTGCCTCTCTTATGTGTGATCAGTCTAAGCACGTCATGAAAGGGAATGAAACAAACAAACAAACAAACAACACCAAGATTTCCTCTAAGCTGTACCTTCCGCTTGGATCCACTTCTAGCTAAGGGACCCTGAGCAGGTGACTGAGCTTCACTGAGTCTCACTTTCCTTCCCCATAGAGGGGAGACAGAAGTCTGGACCTTCTAGGGTGGGTGTGAGCATTTAGTGAGATAATTTTTTTTGCATCATACCAGGTAATGCACTCCTGGCTCTGCCCTCAGGAATTACTCCTGGCGGTGCTCGGGGGACCATATGGGAGGCTGGGGATCGAACCTGGGTCGGCACATGCAAGGCAAATGCCCTACCCGCTGTGCTATACCTCCAGCCCCCTTAGTGAGATAACTTAGCTATACTGGGTGGCACATAACTAAACTCGGAGGTAAATATCAGCCAGCCTTGTTACTGTGGTTGAGTTGGCTCTTCCCGATACATGTTGGTTAATGATACCCAATACCGGCCCAGCTCTTTCCGTGCTGATCATCCTTAGTCACCTGAGATCTATTACTGCTTAACAGACTCCCTATCTTTGAACTCTGAGCCCATTGCCAGCGTCAAAAAGAATATTGAAGTGAAAACTAGTTGGCCTATATCAGTCATGCTATAGAACTCTTTTCTATGTATGCTAAAATTTCACAAGTGTTATTTCTTGGGTCACAGGGACTAGAGATGCTAACACCAGATTATAAAAAAGAAAGAAAGAAAGAAAGAAAGAAAGAAAGAAAGAAAGAAAGAAAGAAAGAAAACTCGCCATCCCAATTTCTGGGCAGGTCTAAGTGATCCTTTCCCTCCCAGAACTCCCTGAGTCCATAGGTGAACCCCAGAGTTGGTCCCATACCTATTTTTTTTCTTTTGAGTCACACCTGGCGATGCTCAGGGGTTACTCCTGGCTCTGCACTCAGAAATTACTCGTGGCGGTGCTCAGGGGACCATATGGGATGCTGGGAATCGAACCCAGGTGGGCCACATGAAAGGCAAACGCCCTCCCCACTGTGCTATTGCTCCAGCCACACTCCCCATACCTATTTTTGATGATGAAATATTTCACGGGGTCGTTCTTGTCTCGGGAGGGAGTGGCATAGCAGTTCCTCAGCAACAGCTTGAAGCGGGAGGTGTCCCCTCGCTCCAGGATGGCACCCACATAGAGCAGGGACTCCACTGGCAGGATGACCTTGTCCCCTTCATAGGGAAATCTGTAGTCAGAGTCCTGGAAGACGGCCATTCTGACAGTGAATTCTCCGTTCCCGCTCGCGTTGATGCTCACGGTGCTGGAAGAGGAGCATGGCGAGAGGGCTCGGGGTCAGGGCGGTCCGTGAGAGCAAAGTCACTCTAGCCAAGCTCGGAAGGGAGAGGGATAGCTGGGCCTCCCGCAGGAGACGGCCTGGGCCCCAAACTTGGCATCCACTCCAAGATCTCTAGTGAAATGCTCATCTTAACTAAGTCCTTTTCATGGTTATTTTATTTATTCTTCTGGGGCAGTGGGAGGGAGGGGGGAGTGGAGGCGGTCACTCCTAACTCTGGACTCAAGGCTCACTCCTGCCTGTGCTGAGGAAACTATATAGGGTGTCAGGGGTCAAACCGGGGTGGATAACATTCAAGGCAAGTGCCTTTAGTCTCTCTCTCTCTCTCTCTCTCTCTCTCTCTCTCTCTCTCTCTCTCTCTCTCTCTCTCCCCTCCCCTCCCTCTCCTTCCTCTCTCCCTTCCTCCTTCTCACTGTCCCTCCTTCCTTTCTCTTCCTCTCTCTCCCTCAATCCCTCTCCCTCTCTCTCTTCTTTCTCTGTCTCTCCTCTCTTCCTTCTCTCCCCTCTCTCTCCCTTTCTCTTCTCTCTCTGTCTCTCCTCTCTCTTCTCATCCCTCCCTCCTCTCCTCTCTCTCTCTCTCTGTCTTTCTCTCTCTCCCCATCATTGTGATTATTTTTTTTTTTTGCTTTTTGAGTCACACCTGGTGAAGCACAGGGGTTACTCCTGGCTCTGCACTCAGGAGTTACACCTGGCGGTGTTCAGGGGAATTGAACCCAGGTTGGCCGCATGCAAGGCAAATGCCCTACCTGCTGTGCTATCTCTCCAGCCCCTCATTGTGATTTTTTATGTGCCTCAACTCAACACAGCCTTGCAAAGTAGAAATAAAACTAGAAAATTCTAATGCTCCCTTTCTGTGAACCTGCGGGCTCTGAGGGCAGGAGAAGGATATCCCAGTGCTGACAGGCACAGAAAGGGCCCCGAGAAGCCTGGGGATGCACAGGAATTTATTTAACGAGGCCCCGTTCTGGCTCAGGGACACAGCAGCATGGAGGCACGTAAGAGCACTGGTCCAGGTGGAATCCCATCTGGGTTGCTCATGGGGGCTCTTTCTGGGGGGCAGTGGGGCAGTCAAAGTTAATCTCAGCTCCCACCCCGGATCAGCAGGAGAACCTTCCCGCTGCCACCCTCTGCCTCCCCCTCCCCACCTCCGTCCCCCTCGGGGGCCCCGTTCCCTGGTCCCAGGGCACCCCACGCATTCATCTCGCTTGTAAATAATTATTAATATCATTTGTGGCTTAATGCTTTCTTCCTCGAGATGAATGACATTATCTCGTGTTGTTCTTTGGCATGTTTAATTAACACGGCTCCACGCTGCGGCCTTGTTTCATAATGATAGTCTCTAATTGCCACAAAATAGTATCTGTCTGCTTCATGCTGAAGATTAATGTCCGAGCACAGGCAAGGCATGAATGAACAATGGAGGGAGTGGAAGCTCCCGAAGGTGGTGGGGAGCACGCAGTGGACTGAAGTGAGAGTGAGCCTGGGCAGGGTTATGGGTTAGAGGGAAGGGTCAGCACCTTACCTGACAATGGGCTGCAGGGCTGTTTCAAGGCTGGCCTTCATGTCCAGCGGGTAGGCGCATTGGAAGTTGACACTGAGAAGTTTGTCTCTGATGATTAAATCATTGACCAAAGAGAGGGTGTTTTTGTAGATGACATGTGTTCCATTTTTCTTTGGCATAAAAACAAATCCAGGGGGTCAGAGATAGTACAGCAGGTAAGATACTTGCTTTGCGTGGAGCCAAGCCAGGATCAATATCCAGCACCCCATAAGGTCCCCCTTCCTCCTCTCCCGGCCCCACCCCTGGAGTGATCCCTGAGCACAGAGCCAGAAATAAACCCTGAGCGAGTTGGGTGCAGTATCTCACACACACACAGACACACACACACACACACACACACACACATTCCTTTACACCAATAATCCAACATATAATTGTATATAATTGTACATAAGTACAAAATTATAAACATAAACAATGATTGTATTTTATAAATTATATAAATATAAAACAATAGTTATTCAAGGCATCATTCACAGCAAATAGCAATCGAAAACAAGCAAGCTAAAAGGCAGAAGAGTGACAACTGGTCAAATTCAGGATTCACATAACACAACGCTATCAAACCCTTACAGAAAACAAATGAGAGCAGGGGTCGGACGATGCTGTTGGACCTGGGACTCAGTTTGGGTCCCTGTCAGTCACTGCTACCGACCATGGCAGCTGTCCCGATTTTTGCTCTCAGTGACCCATGCTATGTGGGAAGGGGAGCGAGGACCTCAGATCAAAATCTACAACAAACTACCAACCTCTGGGCAGGTCAAGCATGATCTTGCTTGCTCTTGGTTGGCACCTTCTGTGTTTCCCCCAATTAAGTCATTCCTAAGCTCGACCCACTTTTCTTGAGTTCAAGCATCAGCGCTGGGCTGGGTTCCCCGCAGTAGCTCTCATGCATCATCTTTCATACCTTTCCAAGCCCAAAGAGGCTAAGCGACATGCTCCAGGTCACAAAGCTATTGAGTTTCCACCCCCCACCTCCACCCCCGCCTCAGCCTAACTCCCACCTTCACGTAGTGGGGGTATGAACACCGCTCACCTCCAGAATGTTCCCGCAGGCCGTAGCCTGGGTGGGGATGGTCATCGACACCCAGTTGTCCTCCTCCTTCTGCATGATACCACTGCAGTTACGGTCCCGCAGGTAGGCTTCGACTTTGTCCCTAAAGCCCAAGCCTCCCAGCTGACAGCTGTCCAGAGACACCTTCATCTCCCGATTCCCGCAGCTGAGCTGGTTTCGCAGAGTATGGGTTTCTGGAAAGACAAGAGGAGAGTTGACGGGGGTCTGGAGGCAGCAGGCAGCGCCTCTGGGTAAAGGCCCCACAAGGTTCTGCTCACTGGGAAATGACTTGGAAGACCTGGGACCAGGGTGGGGGATGTTGACCAAGAAGCACCTGGTCCAAGATTCCAGCTCACCCTCCGGGCAGGTCTGGGGAGGACCTTCAGATCTAGTTGCCTTGGGGGGTTGGGGGCTCAAGGAAGCAGGACTGTGCCACATTTCATAGCAGAATCCCAGGGAGAGGCAGACAGGGAGAAGGCATATTTTCTTCCTTTTGTCCATCCATCAGTGCTCCTGTGTTTATTCTTAGACTCACAGATTCACCCAGCATTTATTCAAGCAAACCTCCCTGTGCATCTACTATCTGCTGGATTTTCCTCTCAACCCTGGGAATACAAGCCAGATGGGTAAAACCTCCGTCCCTGAAGAGCTAGGATGCCAATGAGGGGTGGGGTGGAGGGGTGGTTACTAAATTAAGAGAAAGATAATTTTTATTGTATTTGTTAGTAAATTCACCGTCACTGTCACTGTCCTCCCGTTGTTCATTGATTTGCTCGAGCAGGCCCAGTAACGTCTCCATTTTGAGACTTGTTGTTACTGTGTTTGGCATATCGAATACGTCACGGGTAGCTTGCCAGGCTTTGCCGTGTGGGCGAGATACTCTTGGTAGCTTGCCAGGCTCTCCAAGAGGGGTGGAGGAATCGAACCAGCTCAGCCAGGCTGGCTGCGCGCAAGGCAAACGCCCTACCGCTGTGCTATCGCTCCTGTAGTCCCAGCTACTCGGGAGGTTGAGGCTGGAGGATCGCTTGAGTCCAGGAGTTCTGGGCTGTAGTGCGCTATGCCAACCAGGTGTCTGCACTAAGTTAGGCATCAATATGGTGACCCTCCAGGAGCGGAGGACCACCAGGTTGCCTAAGGAGGGGTGAACCGGCCCAGGTCGGAAACGAAGCAGGTTAGCAAATTAAGAAAAAGAAAATTCCGATTATATTTGTTTCTTTTTGTTTGGGGGCCACACCCTGTACTGCTTAAGGCTTCCTGCCTCGTTGCTCAGGGATCACTCCTGGCTGACTTGGGGGAGGGGAGTGGGGGGCATATGGGATGCCAGGGATTGAACCCGGGTCAGCCACATATAAGGCAAGTGCCCTACCCACTGCACTATTGCACTAGCCCTTCCTGTGGTATTTGTGAGTGTGTGGATTCTCCAAAGGTACACAAACACCTTCTTCAGATGCTTGGAACATTTAACATGAAGATAAAGAAAACACAGATCGAGCTGGAGTTTCATGTTAATACCTGCATTCGAACAGAGATTACATGGTCATAGCACTTGTAGTACTGTCCTCCTGTTGTTCATCAATTGCTCGAGTGGGCACCAGTAACGTCTCCATTGTGAGACTTGTTACTGTTTTTGGCATATCGAATATGCCACGGGGAGCTTGCCAGGCTTTGCCATGCGGGCGGGATACTCTCGGTAGCTTGCCGGGCTCTCCAAGAGGGACGGAGGAATTGAACCTGGGTCAGCCCCATGCAAGGCAGATGCCCTGCCTGCTGTGAAGTATGATGAGAATTCTAATGGCGGTTACTCCAGGGGCTCAAGGAACATGGGATGTCCTTCTAGGTCAGTTGCTTAAGTCAGGGTAGGATTCACAGAGGGCTGAAACTTGGATGGGGTGGGGGGTTTTACGGGAAATAAAGCAAGTGAGGGCATCCCCATCTAAGGAAATGGAAGAGGTGAGGTGGGGTGGGGGACCAGATGGCGTGTTTGTCAAGCCGAGATGTCGGAAACCCAGAAACTCAGAATACAGGGCAGGGAGGAGTAAGCAACAGGCATACGGCAGAGGGGTCCTACATGAAGCGCTGGTCACCCACGGGACACCCAGCAGCCAAGAGCAGGGCCCTGTCCAGCCCAGCCAACCAAGGGACCACACAGATGCCCTTGGGGTCATCCCGCTGTAAGGTGAATCCTCCCCCAAAGTCCCATCCTGTGATAGCCGAACCCCAGAAAATAAGACATACCCCTGGAGCAGAGAATGCATGGTGAGCCCACTCACCGTGATCCCCATCCCTCTTCTCCACAGCCCTCTCTGGGTTGACACCACACGCTCAGGCTGGGTTTTCTCTGCATAAGCTTGTCCCTCTATCTGAAACCCTCTGCAATACTGTGATCGGAGAAAGGCAAGCTTGGCTGCTGGGTGACCTGGGGGGTGAGTTTGAGTCCCAGGGACCCTATCCGTGGGCCCTCAGCCCCTTGCTTACCTCCTGACTTGAGAGACTCCTCACTCCCCAGCTTGCCCATTTATCCCGCCCCACTGTCAATCCCACGATACCCCCGCAGGGTGGGGGATTCAGCCTTTAACCGACTCCTCTTCTACAGGGGAGCACTGTGAGGCTCAGAGCGGTGGGATGCATGAGCCCCACATTTACCACACAGCCAATCCGGGAGGGCTCACGAGTCTGTGGTAGGCTAAACCCATGCCTCTCCCGTGGACCTCTCCTGTGGGTGCATGAATGCAGACCCCTCCTCTGTGTTGGTCCTTCCTGGCTCAAACCCACCCAGGCCAGAGCCTCTCGGTGAAGCCCAGCTGGACATGTGTCTCGCTTCTACCCTCCTGTCACGGAAATTTCCTGGGCTTGAAGAACACAGTTTCCTTGCCTTGTGTCCCCACACCCCCGGCCCACACTCTCCTCTACCGCCCCCCTCCCCCCACCTCTGCCAGATGCTCACCTGTGATGTTGAGGCCCGGCCGGCAGAAGCAGCCCCATCTGCCATTCTCGTAGCGACACTCCTCTTCTGGACGGCAAGCCTTGTCACACTTGTTTTGTGCAGTTAAATGGTCTGGGGAGGGGAGGCACGTAGGAAGGGATCAGGATACAAAGCCGGGTGGTCCTGAGGTCACCAGGATCAGCTGTGTCTGCCTGCTGGGGGCATACTCGCTCTGTCCCTGTCTGTGGGCTTCTTACTGGAAGGACCAACCCCCTAACCCAGATGCCCTGACTTCTAGTCCAGAGAACTGGGAACCACCCCAAAGTGACCATCTCACAGTTCCCTTCACAGAAGATGTCCCTTCTCTGTCCCAGCTCATTTCGTTGCTCACTGGAGGAGACCTGGTAGCATCGTGGCTCAGAACAGGTTCCAGGGAACCTGGATTCAACTCTCAGCCCCCACCGTGCCAGTTTGTGGTGCTGGGGGAGCAGCATAAGCTCTCTGTGCCACAGTCCCCCCCCCCCCGCCTGCTCTGGGGTGATGGTACTTTCATGATGCTGGAGGAGTTTAACCAGCTAAATCGCTTAGGAACAGGAGCAAAGACTTGAGGATCACTGTCATCAGTTGTTACTGATGCCATCATCTATCATCTTATGTCAGAAATCTGAAGGCCAGAGAGCTACATGAATTGCCTAAATCAGAGTGAGCCTGGATTAATAGAACACTGTACACATGGAGGTATAGATAAAGATAGATACTAGGGATCAGGTAGATAAATGATAGATGGATGGATGGGTGGGTGGATGGATAAAAGATGGATAAATGGATGCATGGACAGATGAAGAGTTGGTTGGATAGGTGGATGAACGAATGGATGGATAGATGGAGAAGTGGATGTATGGATGGGTAGATGGAAAGAAGGGATGAAGTGAGGAGGGAGGAAGGAAGGAAGGATAGTAGAAAGGAAGGAAAGAAGGAAGGAAAGATAAAAGGAAGGACAGATATAAGGAGGGAAGGATGGAAGGAAGGATAATAGGAAGGAAGGAAAGATAGACGGAAGGAAGGATGGAAGGAAGAAAGGAAAGATGGAAGGTAGAAAGGAAGGAAGCAAGCAAAGAAGGAAGGATAATAGAAAGGAAGGAAAGAGAAAGGATGGAAGGGAGGAAGGAAGGGAGGAAGGAAGGAAGGAAGGAAGGAAGGATGGAAGGAAGGGAGGATAGTAGAAAGGAAGGAAAGATATAAGGAAGAAGGAAGGAAGGAAGGAAGGAAGGAAGGAAGGAAGGAACGAAGGAAGGAAGGAAGGAAGGAGAGGAGAGGAGAGGAGGGGAGAAGAGGGGAGGGGAGGGGAGGGAAGGGGAGGGGAGGGGAGGGGAGGGGAGAGGAGAGATCTCAGGATCATCCCCCTTCAATCTGATACCCCAACTTCCCTTGAAATAGAGGCCTGTGCACCCTGACGACATTCCATGGGGCAGCAACGGGCAGGGCCAGGCGGGGGCTATTTGGGTGCCTCCCGACCACTCTGCCTGCCTTGAGCGTTTCCCCTGACACTGTTTCCTCTGCATGCCGGCCACCCACCTGTGCAGTACCGCAGGTCGCAGTCAGGTGTGCCCTGCAGCTTGTACACAAAGTAGCCGCCTGTGCAGGCCTTCACCAGCACCTCAGACTCCCACAGGCAGCAGTTGCCACTCCAGTGGGCACAGGTTTTGCGACTGACGATGCCCTCGTTCACGGTGGGGTGCAGCCCATTCAGCCACATGGGGGCAAGGGTGTCGCACTGGAACACTGGGACACAGGTCTCTGGCAGCCTCACGCCCCCGTCACCCATGAAGCGGTACCAGCCTATCAGATCCTTGTCACACTTTGGCTCATCACCGGCCTCGAAATCTGTGCTTCGGGTGGGGTCATTCAGGATGAGGTGATTATCGCAGGGGTCAATGCAGTTTCCACCCGAGGTGCCACAGTCCAGGCCCACCTTGGAGGATTGGTTTCTGTAACCTGGAAGCAGAAATGGACGTGTGGTGGGAATCCACAGGAATTTTGCTCCCTAGCTCACGCTGTGCAGGATGTGCCGATGAGCCTAAATATTTGCACATGATCCGGGGAGTGCCTGGCGGTCTTCAGCCCCGTGGAGCCAGAACAGCGGGACCTTGGCACAAGATTGTCTCCAAGCCTGTAGACATGAAGCTCCCCACCCTCACCCGCCCCCGCCCCCGCCCCCGCCCCCAAATCTCTTTCACTAGGCGACCCCTCCAGCCCTCCCTGGAGTTGTGCAATGTTCCCTTTGGTCCTCTTTGTACCATTTTCTGGACTCTTGAGAAATGTCATCCAGGCTCATCGGATAATAAGTATTCAACATTGCTAGAGGGAACAGAGTGAGAACAGAAGTGGTCATGAGCCCCTTGGGCGCCTAGAAATAACCCCGGATCTGATAATGTCTTTAGATGCTGCCTGTGTGTAAGTGTCAAGTAGAGGGTTTGGTTAGTTTTCTTTCTCTTTTTCTTTTTCGTTTTTTGGTTGGGGGGTGGGTGGCACATGGGCACTGCTCAGGGTTTCCTCCTGGCTCTGCACTCAGTGATCACCCCTGGCAGTGCTCAGAGAACCTCATAGAAGGCCAGGTTTCAGCCCCAGGCTGGCTGTGTGCAAGGCAAGTGCCCTCCCTGCCCTACTTCTGCTCCAATCCTGGATTTGTTTCCCGAAAGCAAGAAGAGACTGGCTGGGGCTCCACGTTCCCCGATCTGAGACATTGTCCCCTGCCAGGCCTGGAACCAGGGTGCTCTGTCTCTGCACCACTGACTGGCTGGCTGGGTGATTCAGGGTCATGGGGATGGTTCTGCACTTGGGGGTTGAGTGGTGTTGGCCAGAATCCCGGGACTTCTCTCTAATCCTGCCCTCCCCCTCCCCCCCCCCCAGATGTCTCCTGACAGGTCATCACCTGTCCCCAGCAGAGCAAGATGGAAGTGCTGACCTCACAGGACACTCGGATGACTGAACTCCAGGTTTTGGAGCGCTTCAGGTACTGAGATGTGTGACAAGCAATGGAATGAAGGGGGAGCAGGGGCTTGGGCGGGTCAGCTCTGCACCTGTGGGCCAGCTGACCTTGGCACGTGGTTTAGCTCCTCTGAGATGCATCTGCCAAACAACACCTGTGAGTCACAGGTTCCCGAGGCCCTGTCAAGGGGTTTGCTCACCTGTGTCAACTGGCCTGATCCATATGTACTATGGCCCCTTCAACGATTCTCTTTAGAAGTTTGTTTTCTCCAGTGGAATGTCTTCTGGGACCCCCCCCCCCAAAGCCTGATGTACTGGTTAATTTTTTTTAACACCAATGAAAATAGGTACACATACAGCTTTCCAAAAATATCCCAAGTGTTTGCCAAGCACCCCATATTCTTCTTAGGGTGAGGTACGTGCTGTTTTTTGGGGGTGGGGGTAGGTAAAGCCCAGATCCCAAGAGGATGAAGTGAGATAGTTGGTGGGTGCTCTAATTCCCTTCTCTAGCTCTGGTTGATGAGTGCAAGGGTGCGAGACTGAATGCTAAACCATGCATGCCCATGGGACCCCCCCCCCCCACTTACGATGCAACTTATGGGACTTGTAGAAAAAGAGGTGCTCAGGGCTTGTTAAGGAAAAAAGCTGGTGCTCTTGTTAATCTTGGATTATTTTCAGCTCAGGCTGTATCTTCTCAAAGAGGGCCATGGCCCTTCCTTTTCTTTCCATTCTGCAGCCTCCCCCTCCCCCCAGGTGATAGGAAAATTTCCCCTGATATTGAACCTGAGAACCTTCCTACTAGCTTCTAGGAGTCCACCCCAACACTTTTTGGAAGACCAGAGAAGGCTCACTAAATCTCATCCTTTCTGATTGCAGATATGCAAATGGACCCAGAGACAGTCAGGGGTTTAGGGTTCTTGCCAAAGCAACAGAACAGTTCTGGTGACCGAGTGATTTGTGCCTCCTGAATCAGGCTTCCCACTCCTCCCCTCCGCCCCCTCTCTGGGCTGGGATGTCAGGCACACATGAGCCTCCTGTTCTTCTAAAGGACTTTCTTATGTGGGTCTTGGAGAAGCAAAGGCTTGATCTCACTTTCTCTATTCTCCTTCCCTTGACTCTTAGTTTCTGGGTCTTCGGTTGAGATGCTGTGAGCCCCTTTCTCTGCACATCAGCCTCCTCCCCAGGTTGAGTCAGGCATGCGATACACAGGGTGAACAGAATGCTTACCTGGTTGCTGAATAGCTGCTTGGGTCAGAAGGCAGACCGAGGCCAGCCACAGGATGTAGGAGCTAGCCATTTTCCCTAAACTGATACACGCAGATCACTCACTGGTATGCGGACTCTCCATGCAGCTAGGAGAAGGGAAAGACCCAGACATTATCAGGGACAGAGGTGGCTCCTTTGGGTGCAAGCATAAGAAGCAAAAACACATGGATTTTGCACCCTGACTTGAACCACTGACTACCTCACTTCCGTAGTTCTTTTAAGACTCCAAAACACCCTCCAGGAAAGGGACTTTCACCACCTTCCTTTTCTAGAGAAGCAGCTGAGACTCAAAGTATACTGACTGCAAAAAAAATTTACTGATTCCCTCCAATGCAAACACCAGGCTGGAAGCGTAATAGGTTGCTTAGAAATCCACATCCATGTTCTCAGAAATGGACAAACAGACCCGTGAAGGGTTGTATTATTTTGGGGTGTGCATGCTCTATAGAAAGAAGGTGGGAAGGCTGGAATAGAGACATGCCAAAGGAATGAGTTTGACAGCAAACACACCAAAGGCAAGCATAATGCTGACTGGCACTACAGAATGCTCTAGAAGGTCTCTGGGCTTGACCACCAGGTCAAACTGGGTCTTCTGTTTTCTTTGCCCCAGCACAGTGCACACAGGAGCACTTAACAAGGATTTAGAGGTGAACAAATAAAGAGACAGTAGAGTTGGGTAGAAGCTAAAAGCTGTGAAACCTGCCAACACTTATATTAGAACATTTCCTCTGAGCCAGAGTGATAGTACAGTGGGTAGGGCATTTGCCTTGCATGCGACCAACCCCTGGTTTGATCCCTGGCATCCCATATGGTCCCTCAAGCATTGCAAGGTGTAATTTCTGAGCACAGAGCCAGGAGTAACTCCTGGGCATCACGAGGTGTGACCAAAAAAAGAAAAGAAAAGGAAAGAAAAGAACATTTCCTCTTTGGGGAAATGCTTTCCTCAGTTGGGCAAATTGTTGGATCACATCCTATAGCCTCTGGAAGATTCCAGTTGGAGGCAGTGATCTGTTTCTGGAAGGGATAACATGAATAAATTATGATAGAGGACCCAAGACTCTCCTTCATAGAAAGGACAGTAGAGACCCATCTTGCTAGTGGCAGGGTGAGGTATGGAGACCCGGGGGCAGAAAGGGCCAGGAGGCAGCCGGCAGGGGCATTGCACGCAAGATGGAGCTCAACCCAAAACGGTCATCTGGAACATTTGACAAGGCCAGAGTTTCATCTCCTCGGCTGTCTCCGAAAGTTTTCAGAAATAAACCTGAGCAAGTCCAGTGGGTTGAGGAAGAAGGAGAATGCCCCCTGCCCCAGAATCAGGAGAAAGTCTCTCAGGGGGGCTGAAGCAGGACTTACCAAAGGCAAGAGACCAGAGAACACACCTTCTCCTCTGGCCTGCTGTGGTAAAGCTAGCCTACTGGGAACTGGGTTTGTTTTGTTTTTTTTATGGTCATTTCCTACCCACGTGGCTTTTGATGATTGGTGCTGTGGTAGGACCGGAACTAATCTCCCAGGCATACACAGGACTCACTGGGTGTCGGGAAGATAAGATAAGATAAGCAACTGACCACAAAAGATGGTGAAAGAAGGGGCCTTTGCCTCCCTTCTCCAAGGTAAACTTTCCAAACCTCATGCAAATGTTTCTCTGAAGAAAAAAAAAAAGAGCAACATGGTTGAATGTTGACCCTCCTGGTCACTGCTGAGTGTTTTGTATCCATTGCTTCCCACATTTAATCCTTATAACAAACCAGTGACCCCGGTGCCATATTTATTACCAGAAACCAAATACCAATAAAAAGGAAGTCTAATGCCCAAAGGAAAGTGGAGAAAAATCAAACAAGCACTTGTTTACACAATGGATTTTCAATTGTACCCTGTGTTCCTGGCTAATCATCTTAGAAACTTCTGCTCTGTCTGAATGCCACTCAGCTTGGAACCAGTTAGAACAAGATAATAAAGAAGAAAGGGGGACAACGGTGGGTGCTTTTCATTTCTGGCCCATAGGATCTACTCAGCTCCAGATGCCAGATGTCAAGAAGTCAGAGAAGGTCAGTCTAGTGAGGGTGAATCGTGGGATGACAATGATTGGATCAAGATAGGGGTCAGATAAGATAAGGGTCAGAATAGAGGCAGGGGGAGGGTTGGGATTGGGGGCGGATAACTGGGGACATTGGTGGTAGAAAATGTGCACTGGTGGAAGGGTGAGTGTTAGAGCATTGTATGACTGAACTTCAAACACGAAAGTTTGTAACTATATCTCACAGTGACTCAATTTTAAAAAGTTAAGAAAGGGGGTCGGTCAGAACAGCCCTCTTGATCATCAGTTTCCCTCATCTATCTGTAAGTTGCACTAGTAGGCTACAGAGACTGAAAGGAAGTTGTGCACCTTTGGGTTTTTAAATTCCCAAATGTCTCTGACTTTCATGGCAGGTAGAAACCACAACATTTATCAAAGAATAAAATTAGTTTTTTGTTTTTAAGAAATAATCACTGCCCTTCGATGCCACTCTGGAGCTTGTATAAATCCAAGGCCACTGGAGATTGGGAGCACAGGGGTGATAGAACTGAAAAAAACTTTCAAAACTGACCTGAACCCCCCTCAAATTGTTCCATGTCACTTCTCTCTGCCTAATGCATTTGTATAAAAGCATCTGGATGTGGCCCTTACAACCAGTACAAATTTGCGATCCCCAAATCCATCTGGAAGCATAGAATGGATCACTTAGCTAATCATCTGGATCAGGTGTTCACCAAAGTCTCCCTAATGACCACTCTCAACCTTCCCCACCCTTTAAAACAGTCTCATCAGCCATTAGTGCCACTCATTTCCCCATTCCGTTCTCAGCAGGCATCTTGCATTCTCTTTCAAGAAAATTTAGGCCACCACAGCAGACATCCCTTGCCTGTAAACATCCAGTGATTTGTCTCCATCCTCTACTTCCTCTCCCAGTTTCTGGTGAGATGACTGTTCTCATTTTCTTTCTTTTTAAAAAAAATTTTTTATTGTATCACCATAAGATACAGTTACAAAGCTTTCATGTTTGAGATTCAGCCATACAATGATCAAACACCCGTCCCTCCACCAGTGTAAACTTTCCACTACCAATGTCCCCATTATCCAACCTCCCTCCCGCCCCCGCCCCAGTCCTCACCCTGCCTCTATGGTAGGCAAATGCTCAGATATTCTCTCCCTATTTGGGGGCATTATATTTTGTTCAAATTTTCCCATCACCATTCAAGTCTGTCTTCCAGGGGCAAAAGCTAGATCATATACTTTCTATTGCTCATTTTGCATATTATAAAAGGTTGAAATTATGAAATTCTAAGATTGTAAATGGTTAGGTTCCAGAGACAACTCTGGAGGGAGCTATTCCATTTTAGGATTCAATTGGGAGTTTCTGGGACCATATTGTTGGTGTGCCAACATGGTGCCCGGGGGTGGGTTGTGGGCGTGACTTCCAGCATCAGGAGTGGATGGAAACCGGGGTAAGACTGCCCGGTTCCACTGCTGCCATGCGGTTTGGAGATTTAATCCTGAAAGCTGTATACCAAAGTCTTGCTTGTATAAGCCCATGGTCACTGGGGTTCCATCTGGAGTAGGTGGGGAGACTGCACCTGCTCCGTGTGGGGTGCCCTGGTGAAATCGGCTCAGTCTGGGGCCTGGGGAAATCTCTGGTGCTGTGGTGCCCTCCAGGACTGCTGTGGTCGCTGCTGTGTGTGCCAAGATGGCACCTGGGGGCGGGTTGTGGGGTGAGACTTCGGGCATCAAGAGGGCCTGGGGAACTGGGCTGAGGCTGCCTAGTTCTGCTGCCACCATGCAATCTTCCTCATTTTCAAAGTTGGTTTCCCCTCCTGGTGACTTCCCCTTTCCAATCTGAACCACGCTACGGTCACCACCTTGGCAATCCATCGGGCATTTTTCCTGACTTCTTGTCATTGGGTCTGTGTGTTTCTTCCTCTGGGATCTTTGCATTTCCTTGACCTCTCTGTCTGCTTATTTTCTAGATTCTCCTGTTTGGATGCTGGTGTTCTAGTATCCTAATTGCTGTCCTATTTCTTCACTTGTCCTTGAGAAAGCTAGTAGTTTCCCCCTGCCCTTTTTCTTTGGTCCCTCCTATAGTCTCTTCTTTGAAGGTGTCAAGTCATCTCATGGTTTGGAGTCCTGCAGGCTGGTGAGTTCCAAATTTGTATCTTTATCCATGAGCACTCTCTTGAGCTCCTGATGCTTCTCCCCGCTTGTCAGCTGATCTCTTTGGTTGGAGCTAGATACTTGGGGTGCCTGGTACTCAGCCTGCCTGGCTCTGAGCTCAGGAACACCCTTCAGAGTCCCTCTCTTCACTGCATCCTCTAGCTTGAACAATGGTGCCATGGATGACCCAATCACCCACGTGGAAACCCAACTACTTCCTTCCCAGGCTCCCTCCTTTCCCCCTCCACTTTCATGTTTCAAATAACAACCAAGTCTTCCCACTCAGCCTTTTAAGTACTTATTCTGATCTTATTTATTTGTTGTTGGTTAGAAGCACCACGGAATTTTAGGGAGATGGTTTTATACCTCCATGTTCAATTGTTTCTTGAGTCTAGCTTCCTTTTTCATCCCCACCTCACCACATCTCTTCAGAAGTGACCTTAGTTGCTTCGACTGGGCCTCTTGCCGTTGTTCTTGTCCCCTGTGGCCCAAGGTCCCATTGTCATCCCTCCTCGGGTTGGACACCACCACAACTCCTACCTCAGCCAGAGCTGCTCCCCTGTGCATTCTAGGTCACAAGCAGTCCATGGTTCTCCGAATTCCCTCCCACCTTTAAGCTTTGCACCTGTCATTGACCCGGCTCCCGCTGCATTCAGCCTCTGGATGTTCATCCTCTGTTAGGGAGCCCTATGCTCGCCTCTCTGTGCTGATTCCAATCGGAATTCCCCACCCCCGCCCCATCCTCACTCATCTGTCATCTGTTTCTCTCTGAAAGTTGTAAGATCTTCGTGGCCAGGAATCCTGTCTTGGCGATTCTAGCCAGCATCGAGTAAACACTGGCTGGGTAAACAATGGGATAAAACTATCACGCAGATGCTTAAATTCTTGGCTTGTGTAGGATGGCTCAGGGTCATGGCTGCCTGAGTCCTAGTTAACGTTTGATAGAAGGACAAAGGATCCTGTCTCTTGGCTGCATGTGGGTTTTCCCCCCACTGCCTGCAAAGCAACTCCCTGGAGGTTCCCTAGTCCAAGTGCCCTTCTTTCTGGTCTCTCCATATGGGAGGCCTTGCTTGAGCACTCAGAGGGCCTGGCTGGAGAGAGGGTGTAGTGGGTAAGGCACTTGTCTTTCTTGCAGCTAACTGAAGGTAATTGGCCATATTGGATCCCCGGCACATGTGATCCTCCAGGACTGATCCCTGAGAACAGAAGTAATCCAGGAATAATCTCTGAGCACTAGAATGTGTGTCTCCCCAAATAAAAATTAATTAAATTCAATAAGACCACCACAGCTCTATTCTCCTTCTCCTGTTGTTTTCCTCCAACCTTATTTGTCACCATTACCGTGTAAATGTTCTCCCTTTGAAAACTAAGCTTTTGGATTTGCAAAAGCCATTTTGGTGGCTAATTATTTCCTTAGTGTCCATAGAAGTGTCTGTCCTTGAATCCACACTCAAAATATCTGTTGAGGATTGAGCTGAATAAGTAATGGATGCGGGCAAAAAAATGAAAACAAAGAGAAGGACAAGATAAGACAAAGAAAAGACTTAAATGTACTTTCCATCCTTCCCCAACTTGTTGCCTTTGGTCTTGGTTTTCTTTTTTCCTTCGTATAAATGCTGACTTGTCATATCTGAGTCATGGTAAAGACAAGTGTCTGTGTCTTTACCATCACATGTCATTACTGTCATATCTGTGTGTCCCATCAGGTGGGGCCAGGAGACAACTGAGCAGGGGGCTGGCCAGGGCTGGGCTCAGCAGCAGAATCGACGCGTGTCTGCGTGGGATAAGAGGTCCTGGGACTCGACACGCTGTTCTTGCCACCTGTTTGCTGATAAACACGTGTGGTTTTTCCTGGGATCGCCAGGCTCCAGGAACACGCAGGTCCTTGGTTTTTCCCGGAAAGCTAGGGATGGAGTCCAGAGATGCAGCTGGCATCAGGGAAGGCCTTTCCCAAGGGCTGTGATTGCCAGTGACTCGCCTGGAACAGAAATCCTGAGACCCTTGGGAGAGGAGGGTCACTGAGCTGGCAGCCACTTGGTTTCTGGTTGTGCCTTGGTATTGGTTTCTGGAGAATTCCCTTTTGCCAAGCCCTCCCTTCTGATGGGAAGACGCACCAACTTTGCTCTTCTCTGCTGCAGGCCTGTATATTCTGGTGAGTCCAGCTTGGTGGAGGGGGTTCTTGTAGGCATTTCCTAGGCATTCTGGAGACAAGCGTTTATG